AAGGTGACATGAAGTAACCCAACCCCGTAATAACATTTTGCACTTTTGTGTTGACTTCGGCAATTGCTTACCCAATCGCGGAAGAACACCTCGAAATGCATTTTTCTGTACTTATTTCACAGGAGCTTTCATCTCATCGTGGCGCTAGGACAGGCATCTCTCGCGATAGGTGGAGGCTGTTCAAAATACACAAATAGCAATTTTAAATTACTAAAGTCCAGCACTTCACCGACAAGAAGTGCAAATGTCAAGGTTGCGGGCAGAGTGACCACTAGACGATGCAGCACTGGTCAAATCAACTGGGAAAACGCTATCAGCTGTGCAGCAGAACTAATCAACGCGCTATGGCTGTACATCCACAAATGTGACACCTGATCTGCGCAGCGTACGCGGTAAGTGAAACCGATCGTAAAACAATTAAGCTGTTTTCAGATCGTGAACGAATGGCTGGACGTAACGGCAAGGGGAAAGTCGACGAGCTGCTTGACCTCATCGCCAGCTACGATGCAAACAAGCTACTGCAATTTTTTATCCGCAAATAGCCGATCCCCGTCACATCCTACCGGAGCGACCGGTACCTCCCGGACACATCCACGGATCCTTGGCAATCAGTGTGGAAATATCGGATATTCATCCAACCTGGCAACGCCAGCTCCGAAGGATAGCGATGGTCAAGGCAAAATTTGTCATGTCCTTCTAGTACAGCGACTCCTCGAATGTAAGTCATTTGACGCATGGGTTTTTTACGCCAGGGAACAAATCATTTGCTGATGAATTCAGTTACATGGTACTTTCTTGAATGCCCAGATAACTTTAAGTTCCCTATGACTACTGGAAACAACGATTTCTGCTGGTCAACAATTTACTGCAGCAAAAATCCGCACCACAAATTGAGCTGCCGATGCTCCTTTAATAGAAACATATTAATAACACAATTTATAACCGTACAACTCAGAAACTCAGGAAAGAACATGAAACTCGGGAACCTGGAGCAAAACTGTTTTTGCGACTGCTTCTTCCCTCCCCTCCCACCTTTTCCCCCCGCCTCTCGCCGGATTACAGGAAACGCAATCAAAACATTACCTGTAAATTACTGTGATTGAAAAAACAAGTTTCAGTAAAAAGTACCGAGATCTCGTTGACGCTACACAGCATTCTTATCCCGAGTCCAGTTCTTAAACGAAATTTATAAGGTCCCAACATATCATTAGCTGTGATTCGAAATCCCCTGTTCTGAGTCACAGTAGGGCGAGGCTACGAAGAGTACCCACTTGCTAAATATCATCCATGCAGATCCTCAATCTCGAAAAAGTCTTCAAGGTTTTATGAAAACGTGGGGTGAAGCTGCATACATCTGCCAGGTGCGCTGGTTTCCACCACATGATAACGGATCGCTATAAAAACTGAATAACTCGACTACTAAACTGACCAAAACCAAACTGCCGAAATTATCGGTTTGACGCCCCAAAATTACTACTAATTTGTCCCGCCTCGCACTGAGGCGTAAGAGGGTGATAAGAGGACAATGCATGCCAAGAATCTTGCACTTTAGAAAAAACAAACGCAACGGTGCCAGGAATCTAACAGGATCCCATGAATCTTCAGAGCCCTCTAAATTACATTCAAACAGTCCTTTTAGCTGCGGAACGAATGTTATCAGAGCTTATGCCTTTGAACAAAGGGTTGAGCAATGCAATGACATAGAAAAGGGAGTAAAATGAGAAAATACGAAAATTTTTTGCAAAATTTAGAAAGAGACGTCTGACATATACATTTTAAAATAAGTCCTTTGATTAAAACACTTTAAGACAAGTACTTCCTCCGATCAGCTCTTGTATCATCGTTGTGTTCCCCGAACTGAATGGGGTCCGAAGTGAATCATTTTGTCTCTTTTTTTAGGAAAAATGAACATGGAAGAATAAACTGTTATTTAATGAAAAAAAAAACGGAACATTTGGGAGAAACAAAACTCCTTAACACACTAACACTGCATTAGCAACAACA